GTGGGAAATTGTGCCTGGGGGAATGTGTGTCATCACTAGGAGGAGAAGGTGGGCTTCTCCTTACAGCTGGCTTCCTGGGGGCAATGGGGCTGAAGATGTGTGACATGGCACAAGGGTCATGTGCCCTTCCCTTGTTCCTGCATGTCACCACCCAGGACCCTTTTGGGCCCAGCTTGTCCCTGGCATCCAACCCCAGTCACATTTCTGCTCACACATATTCAGACTGGAACACGGAAGATCCAGGCTGTGATTTTCATCCGACATCTCAGAGCACGTGCTGGCCCTGTGGTGTGATGTCATAGGGAGGCAAGGGACAAGGGACAGGAGAATAGCTATTCCTTTCATGGAACTGGAAGCCTCACCAGCCGGTGGTTTTAGGATTCACCTCAGTTAGAAGAAGTGACACTTTTTGGCAGGTGGATGTGCTCTATGAGCATATTGTAGACTCTGAACTCAGAAGGGAACATAGGTTTTGGAGAATCTATTTTATTCTATTTTTTAAAAATTAATTTTTTTAGAGAGAGAGCATGTGAGTGAGGTGGGGAGAGGGACAGAATGAGAGGGAGAGAGAGAGTCTTTTTTTGTTTTTGTCTTTTAAAGATTTTATTTATTTGACAGAGAGAGAGCGAGAGAGGGAACACAAGCAGATGGAGTGGGAGAGGGAGAAGCAGGCTTCCCGCCGAGCAGGGAGCCCGATGCGGGGCTCAATCCCAGGACCCTGGGATCATGACCTGAGCCGAAGGCAGATGCTTAACGATTGAGCCAGCTAGGCGCCCCTGGAGAGAAAGAATCTTAAGCAGGCTCCATGCCCATCGTGAAGCCTGACAGGGGGCTCGATTTCACCATCCTGAGATCATGGCCTGAGCCAAAATCAAGAGTCAGAGGCTTAATGGACTGAGCCATCCAGGTGCCCCTATTTTATTCTAAAGAGATGTATTAAGGATCTACTAGACGCCCACCCACGTGATCAGTGCTGGTGGGAGACAGTAATAGTAGTAATAACGGCTTCCATTCTTTAGAATTTACGGTGTTCTAGGCTCTGTGCTAAGCAGTTAACATGCATAATCTCATTTAAACCTCCGGACATCCCTGTGAGTGTGTGTATTTATCTCACCTTACAGAGGAGAAAACTGAGATTTTCAGAAATTACTCTGGAAGCCAACAATGGTAGTAAATGAAGAAACACAGATTGAACCGTCTGACCCCCAGGCCCAAATTCCAACCACCATCCTAAATGTCCTACTTTCCTTAAAAATTGACAAATGGCTTGAAGAGATTATGTATATGGAAATTTATGCCTCCTCCAGACCGTCCACAAACATCTTAGGAAGGTAGATGTTAAGATAGTAGTAATGTTAACACTAACCTCCTCCTCTTTGCAGAGAGCTCTAGAACTTGCATTCAGAAGATTGTGGAATAGTGGGAAAAGCAGGAGATGAGTGGTGTCAGACCCACTCAGACTCGATTCCCAGATCCTCTTAGCTGTGTGACTTAGGGAGGTCACAGCCCCTCCCTGGGGTCTGCATTCTGTAACATGAATGTGCTCACCTCATCAGCCTGTAGGGAATCAGGACCCCAAAAAGGGCAATGACTTGGCCAAAGTCCCCAGGGAGGTAGAGGCAGAGTCTACTTGTTCTTGGACACTGCCAGGGTGATTTCCATCTCGGGAGGTGGGGAATAGGAGCTTTGGGCAGCTCTCCGGGAAGCCATGATAATCCCTTCTCCCTCAACACCTCCTTTTCTGGGGGGAGTGCTCAGAGCTGCAAACTTTGATCCCTGGCAAGGAAAGAAACTTCAGGTCTTACCTCAGGCCCACCTTTGCTCCTGGACTAGACCCAGGGATCTTGGTGGTGGTAAGATGCCTCCTGGGTGTGATTCTCCCCACCCAACCAAAGTAACCCTTGATCACTGGAACCAGATTGCTTCTTCTGCAGCCAAGACCATAGATTGTCAGAACATTGGGCAAGCCACTTAATCTCATTCCTCATGGCCTCCTTGTAAAAGAGGAACAGTGTTGGGTTGTTACAAGGTTATAAATGAGGTTATGAGGTTATAAATGGATTAAGAATGGTGAAATGCTTGGAACAGGCATGGCATATTGTAGGTGATTTTGTCATTGTTAAAGTTTCTGAGCCTTAGCTTCCCAGTCTCTGAAGTAGGGATGATGTTATTGACTTTACAGGGTTATAGGGATGATTCCTTGGAATACTTAGTAATAATAATTGTAATAATATCAATAGCCAACATTTATTGAACATTTCCTATGGGCTTGGCATTGTTCTAAGAATTTTGTATGAATTAGCTTGTTGAATCCTCATAACAATACAAGAATCTGTTTTTTTTTTTTTTTTAAGATTTATTTATTTATTTGAGAGAGTGCGTGAGTGAGTGAGCGGGGGCAGGGGTTTGTGAAGGGGCAGAAGGAGATGGAGAATCTTCAGCAGACTCCTCCCTGAGAGCACAGCCCGATGCGGGGCTTGGTTTCATGACCCCGAGATCATGACCTGAGCTGAAACCAAGAGTTGAACAAGCTCAACCAACTGAGCCACCAAGGTGCCCCAATCCAAGAGTCTTTTT